AATTAAAGATTATTAAAAAATAAAACGGTTAACCGTTTGAAACAATTGTTTTAAAGAAAAAAATCGATTTGCCGTTTAGAAGTCGAGCTATTCGAAATGAAAGTTCACTCTTTTCCCCATTCAAACCAATGATAATTAACTACAGGACCAGATTTTTTAACATTCAAATTAATTAATGTGCAAAAAACTATTGTGCATATTTAATAAAAAATATTCATTTTTGTCAATGGGCCGTGGGTCTTTTTTTTTTGATACGACCCAGAGCAATCGAAATACCTTAAACCTAAAACAAATTGGTATCTCCAAGCAAATAATTCCCTCCACACATCCTTATTTTCTCTATCTTCAGAAAACATATTGTTTGTATTTTTTCAACATGTTATTTCAAAAACGATCAAAAAAAATTATGTCATAATTTCAAAGTAGCATCGTCGCTAGAGGGAAGATTTTCATCTATTGAGGGTAACAGCTCACTTTCATGTGGAAAAAATGAATCGCAATAATCCCAAAGCCAGTGACATGGCAATAACGTTTTTCCTGTAAAGTCACCCTCTTGTATTTGGACAACGAGGATTCTTCTGATGGGTTCTCTTACGTTGATTGTTATGGTCCAAATTGATAGGTCTTGTTTAAAATGCTGAAGAACCTGAGAATGAGATCCACTGACCGAGCCATCACGACTGTCGCGTGAGCATTATTATATTGAATTCGTATGAAATGGAGAAAGGCGACGCATGAGAGAAGTTGAAACGACAAAAGGATTTTAGATATGCAAGTACGGAGAGGAAGTGAGCTTAATAGTTTTCGAGGTAGTTAATTAAGACCGACAATTTGCCATCCTGATATTTATTAAGTACTTCATTGTACTCGCAAATATGTTTATCATTTTCCAACAAATTAACTGATATATTTTCATTTTTGTTTGTTTAACGAATCCACACATAGTATCTTTCAATATAGTATGCACACAGGATAAATATGCAAATTCACCCTTAGGTCAAACCATAGTGCTTTCATTTTAGGGTGATGAAATGTATAACTTATTACCTTCTGATTAGCATTGCTATCCATCCATTCTTTTTCATTTTAACTAATAATTTATTCAATCTCGTGAGTAGCAAATTTTTATTTCTAATAAAGAAAAGTTTCATTCACTGTAGATAGTGATTTTTAGATATTTTTTGACATTTGACATCTCAATTGTGTTTAGAGTATTTATCTTATGTACATAAAGGGTACATATAGATGTGCATTAGGGGTAAAATCACTATTATTGCCCTGAATTTTTTTTTAATTATATTGAAATGAAGTAAATGTTATTGATATTTTATTGAAAACTGAATAAATCTGATTTTTCTTAAATAAACTTTGCTGAAGAATTTAACTGCTGGATAAATTATTCAAAGTGATTCATAAAAATAAATAAATAATTTTAAATTTATTTAGAAACTTTTTTTTATTATATTAAAATTCATTCAATATTAATTAAATAAATATGATTATTAGTACAATTGTTGTCTTATTAGTTTATTTATTTAATCATTTAAACATAATGACTATTTTTCTTATCTTCACATTTAACTTTGTTTGTTACTTCTATTAATCATTAATTTATTAATTATAAATAGTCATTACTAAATGTAATGTAAAAAATAATTCAAACAGTTTATTTATAGTTACAAAAAGCTTGTTAATAGATTCCTTTTATTTCATAGATTTAATATAAGTGAGAAAAAGTTATCATATAAACTGCATCACAATTTTTAAACCCCCTAACAAAAACAATTGTCGCTGTTTTGTTTTGTTTCTGTCTGTAGGATTACAGGTAATAAATTCCCTATGCAATCAAGAGTTAAATATCTCTAATACATGAGACAAAAAATGATCAATCTTCTATTGTGCATGAGTGAATATGCATTATTGGACATTAATATGACGGTAAAAATATTGTACGAAAAATATCCCTTGTTGTAGTCGAGTTATAAGACTTGAGCTTTGTAATAAATATTTATAGAGAAGACTACTTAGTTTTAATGATGATGCAGAATTTTTATCGAGTCCACTATTATTCTTCCGGGTTGAATTTTTTTGGATTGTTGGGATAAATTGAATAAAATAATTGACTATTTTTCTTCATGAATTTCCAACACTGGAGATTTTTTAAACGATTTTACAGTTTTATGAAAAAAAAAGAATGGTATTGTGTGTTTAGTGTTCCAATAGGGACATTCAATCAGATGAGGATTGGTATGCTTATAAGGTCACGTGATTTTTCTGTTCAAATCGTATCTTTAGAGATGTAGATGCTACAAAAGATCGAGAAATATATTGCTCATAAAATTATCTTGGAATTTTCCATTGTGTTATAAGCATTTCACCACGCATGAGTGTATTTATTCGTTCAACAATGTTATTCAAAAAAAAAAAATTCTTTACATATTCCCTCAAGACAGGAAGCATTGCATAAGAAGTGTATGAACAAAACATTCAAGTACATCAATAGTTAACGCATCATCAGAGTTAGGAAACTTTGTTTCAACAAAGTCTGCTAAGTTAAAGAACTTTTTTGTGCATCCCGAGGAAGAAAAATAATTCAACAGTTGAATATAAATGATGTTTGATTGAAAAAAATTAGAAGTTGTGGTTTTGCTTTAAACATAGTTGAAAGTTACTTCAGACATACAATAAGTCTATAGACTTGTGGAAAATGTAAATTGATAAATTTTATTATTGAGTGTTAAAAATATTAATACTCAAAGAAGTTAAAAAATTGGTACCATTAATGATAAATAAATAATTTCTTCATCAACATTAAATTCTGTCAAGTTCATTCCAATCAAAAAATTATAATGAACATTGATCTGCAGTAAATCGTTCAACAATTTATTTTTTTATAAATTAAAAATATGGCAAAGATATTAGAGCATTTAAAAATAAAAAAAAAAAAGATTTATTATTCGTAAGCATTTTTTTACAGATAATTGCAAAATGAGTGCATCAATACATTTTTGAAATGTCTAAGTTGTAAAATAGTCTTTTTTTTTCAATATCTCTCTCTACATGATTCATCAAACTTAAATGCTCATTAAGTATGTGCAAAAAAAAAATGAGAAAAGCATCTTCTTCCTCACTTTACGATAATCTTATAAAATTCTCGTTTCTTTAAATGAATGAGATTAAGAAAAATAATGAAAACACCTGAGTCATATCTAGTGTCTTGAAGGCATCATTATATTTTTTTTCATAATTGTACTAGTATCACTCGCTGAAAGCCTATTTTCCTACAAACACTCTTTCAGAACAACTAGTTTTTTTCTGTAGCCCTGACTTAAGTGATTAACATCTCTACTTAGTACTATGTGTACACACACATGTAACAAACTATTCAATCTATCTACAAAATAATAGGTCAGATGGCGTTTTTCTAAGTACATATGATACCAAAGCATATTATCAACTTATGTAATGTATAACTCAAGTATAATATAAATTACTATTAAAAACCTTCATTAAGTTTTTTATGCCTCATGGTGATGTGTAATTGATCAGAAAAAATTTAATTACTTGGAAAATTATAAATGATTAAGTTACCAATGAACTTAATCTTCTCTAACTCTAAATAATCATTGATAGTCATTTTAGTTTACTTGAATACTGTCATGATATCATTAGAAATAAGATCAAAGCTTTGTAATTGTAACTTTGTTACAATTTGATTACTACACTGCAATTCCATGTGAATTAAAATAGTTCACATTAAGTGTGTTCATGACTGATTTTCAATTCAAACCTTCCATTATTTGAAGCAAAATGGCTTAAATCACGAATTTAGTCATAAAATAAATATCAGTGACTATTTACTGATCTTTAGCACCAAGTCCATCACTGAATGTATCAGTTAATCTGATTGGCATTGATAATCAATGAATTGACATTAATTTGCAGTGATTTTTACTGATTAGTTTTAAGAGAGTAATGTTGTGTTCAATAATTCATTTATCATCTTAACCAAGCTTTAAAAATAATAACCTATTGTTTATTATTACCAATGATTTTTATCACTTCTTTGTTCATTATTCTTATTGATTGAAAAAGAAAAAATTATAGTCATAATGGGTTTCATTATACTCAATATTCAATTTTTCTCGTTAAAAATAATATATCAGGTGATTAAAGCAACATGTAGGGATAATGATAGTGCTTTTTATTTAAAACACACTTCTACTCAACAAGCCATCACTATTAAATACATAGAAATTAGTATATAGGATGTACAATTGTAGTATGTAGTCACGCTGCAGGATAGTAGTGGGCAGACGATATAGAAATGCGCGCGCGCCAAGTAATCGCGCGGAGTCCTCAGACTGTATCGGGTGGTTAAGCTTTGAACATTCAGTCCTGTCGAGAATTCTATCAAGAGGGTTGTGTTGACATTGACGTTCTGTTTTGAACTTTCGTGCACATTTATTAACAGTCAACACCCCATGCAATGCGATTTTTTGTGCTGGTGTTTTCGTGAAATTTTGCGAAATATTTATGACTCATATTTGTGAAAAATATTGACTCATCATCTGCTTTATTTATCAAAAATCATCTCTTGAAACGTACAAAAAACGGCTTGCAAAAAAATTTGCAACTATTTTTTGCAAAAATCATAAAAGTGCAAAATTACAACGAAATTAAAAAAAAACAATAAGATCAGTTTTCGTGAAATATTTATTAATAATGTGTTGAATATTGTAAATATGCGAAAGTATTTAGTGATGGATGGTGCTAATTCCTAGATCTAGAGTTTTGAGTTTACATTGAACTGATTATTACATCAGCATCTAGAGTCTAATGTTCAAATTGACTTGATCATTTTACGGAAATTTTTGAATCAAATCCTGATAAAAAGACATCAATAGCTGGTATTTGATCAACATCATTAGCTTTAGAAAGACTAAGAAAGTTCGAATTAAAGTATTCTAATCAACTTTGATCAGCATGAACAAAAGAAACTCAAAACAACGAAAATCATATCAATAATAACAGCCAATACTTATCAACGAAAGCGTAGAGTAACTTGTCCGTGATATTATATTGTGAAACAAATTGAAAACTAAAAGCGATTTAATCCATAAGGATGCTTCTACGATGTCTAACTCACCAGGACTTAAGTCGGGGTCACAGCAAACGGGCACGAAGCCAAAATCGAAATTGGCCAAATTAACAACTGCTAGATTTTCCCCTAAGAAACAACAGTCAATACCGTCAGCATCTATTAGTGAAGTTATTCCAGCTAATTCCATAAGTTGCTCATCATCACCAAAACATCATCGTCAAGCTGAAGATCTATCCAAACAACTTTTAAGTAACAATCGACAGAATGTATCACCAAAGTGCTCACCAAGACACGTTCAAGATTCTTCTAATTTTACAAATTTCCAGCAAAAGACTTTAGAAGACGACATGGGTTTATCGTATGACTCAGCTTGCATGCTTTTGAATGCAGAACCTGCAATATCCTTTTTAGAGTTTGAGACTCTCTATAATTTAGAAAAAGAATTGGATCTAACAAACAGAGATACGATTGCTGAATTAGATGATAAATGTATCTTTGGAGGATGGTTTGGAACTCGACGTGGAGTTTATACAGAATTACCAGATCCTGGCAGGAATGTTGAGTGGATTCCAAGAGGTCAAGTAGTTGCAACATCTGTTCAGGTACCTTCTGAAGGATTTAGCTTTGCACCTGGATGGTCATTGAATCCTGAACATTTTTATCAGTGGCAACAACGTGGAAAAAGCATTCAGCAGGTATTACTAAGTGCTTATTGATGTTAAGTGTTTTTTAATAAAACTTTATCAAATTTCCATAGCTACAAAATTAAACAGATAAGCTGTCAATTGCACTGTTTATTCATCTGTTTATCCTGCTGTCAAGTGGGCAAATGATTGGAAATATTCAAATTTGAGGGTCAATGTGGGTGGGTAGAATTAATCGGAAAACCGGAAGCAATTTAGCCTATCTCGATTTCACCACCACCGCATAACCATTAAGTCGTATGAAATGTTTTCAATCGGCCAATATGTTGTTGTTCTCATTGAGCGATACGATCTGTTAATTATTTCCTTCATTTATTTTTCCTCCACACGGTGGAAAAATTAGTATTATTATAATACCTAGTAGGAATAATTATTGGTGTTTGTGTTGGAGTGAATAGGGGAGTAAACAAATTCAAGGTTGCAGAAAGGGTTACTAGTAAATCATCCTTAATCAGTTTAATATGCATATATACGGAGCGATGTTTATCTAGCTTATTATTCACAGAATGGCAACAATAATTACAGAATCAGCAGTTTTTTTAGGATTTTGATTACTTTTTGGGTTGTTGGAAGTTTTTCTTTCCTTATCATTTTTGGAGGCATTACAAATGTTGAATAGTTGGATTTAAATTAGAGGTAACTAATTATGATAGTTTTATGAGAATGATTAATGTTGGAGATTTTATAAAGATACTTTGTAGAGTTATTTTTGAATTTTAGAGGAAAATAGTAAATGTTGGAAAAAATTTATTTTTCAATTTAAATTGGAACAGTTGAACTACTGGAAAGTAATTTAACTGGAGTTACAATTCTATATTTGAACGGATGAAGAAATTTCAATTGTTATTTAACAGAATTTATTTTACAATTGAAATTAAATTTATTTTTTGTACTTGCATAAACACTTTTTTCTTTTTGTTTCTATTAACTTGATTCTAACTATGATGTGAATATCTAGTATTATCGTTTAAATATTTAAACAATAGTTTTTTTATTAAATGTCTTTCAAAATATTGAAAAACTTTAAAACCAGTCATAAACTTTTATGTAATTGAGACCAACTATAATTAAAATTATTATCACCTCTGTAACTAATTCATTTTATTTAATAAACTTTAACTAAAATCATCTTCAAGTGAAATTAAAAACATAATCAAAATTGATATAAGCTTTTTATTTCTTTATTTATAATTTGAAAACTTTTTTTCTCTTTAAAGTAGTTTTACTCTCATTATTGTTCGTCATTAATCTGAAATAAAAAGAGAAATTAACAGTAATTCCAGTTGCTATTTCCCCTCGTAAATTTAGAACAAAACATTTCCGAAAACAATAATTTACACCATAAATTTATTTCACTCAATTTTCCTGCTAAAGTCATAAAATAATTAATTCATCCAAATTCTTGTTTTCTCCAGTGTAAGTACACTTAAATGAAGAAACATTTTGCGGTGAATGCCTGTAAGAAAATGGGTAGAGCTATTAGAAATGATGTGAGAGCATGTAAAATTGGCAACGGTTAATTTTATGGTTGCTGGTCCCTTGATGGAGTGTAATGTTCACCCTTATATAATCCCAGAGGCGTATACGTTTCTAGTTTCAACCAGGCCAAACATTTTCGCGGTGGATAGATTTTCGAGGATTCTCAGCAGTGAAAGAGTCAGGAAGAAGGGAGACGTAAGGGCAAGTCTATCAAATATGCCGCCTGAGGGTGTGAAAATACTTTGATCAACCCTCAGTGCACCCTCAGAGTTCTCTTGGTTGCTCCTGTACGATATTTACTCTAAGGGTCTCCTGTTGAGACGATCTACCAGCATCTTTCATGCACCAAACGTCTCCAGCTGATATATATTTTATGTGTGATAGAAAAAAGAGAAGAATTATATTAAAGGACACGAATTTTGTGCTCCAGGAAGACTGAGATCAGAGAAGTGAAAGAAAAAAAATCGATTGAACATCAAAATTTTTTTTGTTAAATCCAATAAGAGCATTTTGAACGTAACACTTTCAACTTGTTAGTAACCTCCAGCTCAAAACGATGAAAAATTTTTTCTAGAAGTAATAAGAATATGAAGTAAAGAGTCTTTTTTCTTCGACAAACTGATAATTTAGTTGAATTAAATGACATAAAAATTGAAAAAAGAAAATACCTAAGCTTTCAAGAAGCTTTTTATATGAATTTTTATTACGATATTTTCAACAAATAATAAATTTTTAATCAAAATAAATTCAATCAAATAAATTGACTGAAATTTGAATTAAACCAAACATTCACCAAAACTTTGTTTAGCTCAAATATCAGTTCAGTGCACTCGAATGCATTTATCATCATAACATTTAATATTGACACTCCCAAAATTTCATTTCTACTTTTTTGAAGTGAAGGCAAATAAAAACCTTCCTTTTTTGTTATCAAAAACTGTTGTAGTCAATTTATAAATAAAAAGGGAGTTTTTTTTACAATGCAAGCTCACTTCAAAGTTCAAGGGATCATATTTTTCTTATTTCCCAATTTATGACGAGATAAAAGGCGGAAAAAAATGTAAGATTTTTCAAAGTAGAGATTACGAGCTTTCAAGTGCACTTCAGTCTATTAATATTTCATAATTTCTAATGGAAATCTAAAGTATCTAGATTTTATTTTCAATTTTCAGATGATTTCTGCATTTTTATTGAACAGAGTATTTATACATGGTTAACAATATGGCAATCGATTCAATCTTCTCTTTTTAGTTTGTTTCACTTTCACTCTACTGTGAAATTAATTCAACAGCTTCAAAGACAATCATTTGACTGAATATTCAACAATGCCGAGATATCGACAATCTCGTTCAATTATTATTATTTTTGCATTGTTAAAACTACTACAAATGATGTTATTAAATCGTTGAGTTTTCTGAGAGTAGTTGCGATATGCGGGGAAATGTGTAAAACAATTTTCACAGGGTTATAAATTGGCAATTGATAAAGAGTCGTAACCGATTTAAGTCGTGGTTTGAAGGGTCGATAAAGAGCGAGTAGGTCGGTCCCTGGGTATAAAGATTGTGTAGTTGCTCTTCTGTAGCAATTCCTGTCTTATTACTGGAAAAAAAAGGATGACTAACACAATAACGTTGTTTTCAATTCATGAGTCATCTATTGCTTTCCATTGTTAACATGAAAAGCAAAAATTATTTATGTTGTAAAGAATAAAAGAAACATTAAATAAATGAACATAGCTGAACAATTAAACAATCAAATGTCTTTACAACCATTATATTAGTGAGCGGTTGATAGGAATATTGTTTTTATAAATGTGATTGGTTTTCTTGTTTTATGTTGGTTACAATCGAATAGAAAAAACAGACAGATTTTACGAAGTATTTTCAATTCAAAGTGCTCTGAATACACGATAAAAAATAACTATAAAATGGCTTCCATGTTGAATACTTGTTTTGTATTTTTACCAACACTTTTTTAACTTGTAATAATTTTTTTTTGCCAATAAAACTAATCACATAGTTTTATATTTTAATGTCAATAATGAAATTTTATTAATAAGAGTAAATTAAATATCTTTGAATATTTTTCATTTGAAAAAAAGCTGTTCTTTATAGTAAGAATTTTTTTCTCTTTTTTTTTCAACATCAATTTGGTTCTCTGGAATTAAAAGCTCCAGTAATCCTTCCATTCAACGAAAATTATCGTATGCTCGATTAGATTGTAGGAAACTGCAGCATTGAAGATAATATAAATAAGTATTGTCATTTATAGAGTATAAAGACAGATTTTTCTCTTGATTTCTGCTTATTCAGACAGGGAAAATGTCCAACATGTATTGGACACATATACCAAAGCATAGACGTAAAAATTGGGGTCTATAAAAGTAAAGATAACCGGATAGAAATTGGCTGAGAAAGAGAAAGAGATGGAAAATATGAAAGACGTAGGGTCACCCTAAGCGAATGTCAGAGCTTGTTAGAGCATTCGAAACAAGTTAACTCCTCCTTGCACTGCCCTCAACTAAAACTAGGATGCGTGAGTCGAAAGAATTATAGCAATTTTCGTAGGCACCTTAATTTAGTTTATACTTTCAATTGTTGATTGTCGTCGTAAGTGTAATTCAACTAAAAATAAATTGGTATTTGAAGAGAAGAATATTCTGAATTACTCTTGGAACTCCTCTGGAAGAAATATTTATTACTAAGAATTTTTTTATTTATTTCGACGATTTAAAATAGCATTTGCTTATTCTATGGAATTGCATTTTAAGAAATCAGATTTAAATGAAAAATTCACGACGAATTCCATTTTTATAATAAAAATTTAATTTAATTTCCTAGAAATAGTTTTACACGGAAATGAAAATTTTATTCAAGTGAAATTGTTCTTGTAATTTTTTTTTTATCAAAAATGTTTTATTTATTAACTTGTGTTAATAAAGTATCAAAAATGCTCTTTTAGATCCAATGATAATAAAGAAAAGTGGAAACTTGTGTCTGATTCATACAACCATATCTACTTTATCTGCAGCCATCTTCAATGTCATTCTTGATCTGACAACTTTAAGTAGTAGTTGAAGTAGCGGAGCTTAATCTTTTCAGTGCAATAAAAATATGAATAAATTTTCATTCAGCGCATTTATATTCAACTCAATGAAAGTTAAAAAGAATGCAGTAATTTTTTATGTCAGACTAAGAAAAATCAGAATTTATTCATTAAAAATAATCTATTGTTTTTCTTTAACTTTTAATTATATTAACCATTTTTAATTCATTAATCTTAGAATTTTACCAGTTTAATATATTAAATTAACTATTTAATTGAACTATTTAATTGAAAATTTTTTATTAACTGTCAAACTTATTTAATCAAAAAATTATTAATAAATCTTTTTTGCATTTAAATTAAATAGATAAATAGATGAATTAATTTCTTTAGATTTATTTATGACTTTTTTAAGTAACCATCATCAGTATTAGTTCTCAAAAATGAGTATATCATGATTATTATTA